ACTTTTTGAGGACGCGAAGTGTACTATCCCCCTTGTGAGCCCCGTACACCGGGTGTTTTTGCACGAGAAGCTTCGTATTTACGTTCGCTTCCGACCGAGTGAACGTTCATGGCGGCATACAAGTCGGCTTGTGACTGCCGGCATTCTTGTTGAGGCCATTGCTTCTGACATGGGCCGTGAGACACAGGGCTGCTATAGCGTTTTGGCACAGACCACACTGCGTCTTTCAGCGCATGTCGGCAGTGGAGAAGTGCTGCTGCGGGAGAACTTCATTGACCTCGGTGCCGTTCCACCGCACTGCCGCCTCGCACACACGAGTTTCACTCTTAGCAATCCATCGGACCGCTTCGAGGTACGGTTGCGGGTGATGGCGAGTCTAACGCTCACACAGGTGGAGACGCCCGAGGTGAAACTTTCGCCGGGGGCCGAGGTGCAGGTGCCGGTCTCCCTGCAACTTGCCACTCCCGGGCTTCTGCAGGAGTCACTCACAGTGTTTAATTTGAGTTGCAGGCAGAAGCCTCTGCCGATTGGGCTCTCCATACTGCGACTTGATGAGGCGATATCCGCCACGGTTTCAGAGAAGGGAGATGAGCTACAGAAGCAGCAACAGCAAAAAGCAGAGGAACAGTGCGCGGCTAGAAGGCTGAGAGAGGTCCCCATGCAGCCGCATCTCCAAAGTAACGATGAGGCGGTTGTTGTGGTACTTCCCACGGCTGCCGTCGTGCTCGGTGAGGACGCCGTGCTGCGCTTACACGGCCCCGTAACGGCCACCACGATGCATATGACAAATCACAGCACACGGGACATAATCCTTGTTGCGAAGGGCACTGCACCACTTGTACTTGGTCTTCCACGGTCCTCCTCACCTGTGGAGGAGGTGGCGTCACCTTCGACGTTAACATCGCATGTGTACTCACGTGGTCGCGTGCGTTTGGATGCACGTCAGACGCAGGCTGTTACGTGGACACTGACATCACTGCCAAATCTGACAGTGCAACAGATTCAATGCATTCTGCGACACGAGGTACTGACAATTGAGCAAACGGCACAAGTGTACGTGGCGCAGGTTGTTGACGAGGTCGTGGGATTTAACTACAACGCCATGCTTTTTCCCATGAAGCGATCGTTGCCAGCCGTGGGACAGTGTGTGCTACTGCCGAGGTTTTGTCTCACATTTGCGATGAGTGAGGGGCGTGTGGAGACACCGCTCATTGATCTTGGCGTTGTGAGCATTGGAAGGAGCAACTCCACCAGTGATACCGACACTACCGCTCCAAACGAGGGGGATACGGACCACCACCATCACCACTCAGGGCACGGAACACCAAAAAGAGCCAGAAACAGCGCCGCCGCCGCCGCTGCTGCCGCCACCACCACCACCGTGAATTCCAATCCCGCGCGGTGGAAATTCTGCGGTCATCGTGGCAGCGGCACACAAGTGGTTATACATTTGACAAATCTTTCACCCATCCTGCCGCTATGTCTTAGCATTGAGTGCGAGCCAACAGTGCGCTTTGCCAGCAATCATATTGTCGTGCCACCACTGCAGACCCACTCGGTGGAGGCGTTCCTCGTGGTGAAACTCATTCGGACCCAGGGACCATTTCGCTTTGCTGTTTATTTTGTGAATGAGCTCAACCCCGAGAATGACATGGTTGCGTATGTGACAGGACAGTACTATTGGAAGGCGTTTGACCTTTCTTGTGATGGGGTGATGAATGTCGCACAGGAATCCCTTTCTATGGAGGCATTGCGTGTGACGGAGACCTCTACCACCACCGATATTCTCTCCGAGAGTAAAATTGTCATGACGGCGGTTGAGCCGAATGTTGAGGTGGTTCTGGGCGTGACTGAGAACCCCAAACTGGAGGGGCTTATTCAGCTGCAGGTGTTACAGTACGACGCCGCAGCGCCGCTGCAGAAAATTGTTTTTGGGCAAACGAAACACGCTTCGGCGAACAAGGCCGGTTCCCTACCTCCCCTTGTCCTCAACAACATCAACAAAATGACCAGTACTAACATCAACAACAACAGTTTTGGTGGTCCGGGCGTAGTGAGTACGACGGACGCCGGGGTGATCTCCAGCACGCCATTTTCAGCCGCTGCCATTGCGGCAGCAGCATCGGCTGTTAATTCCATACAGGCGGTGGGAGTGGTATG